TGTGCCCTTGTGGCCAAGAAGGCCAATGGTCTCCTGGGGTGCATTAGGCAGAGTGTTGCCAGCAGGTGGAGGGAGGTGATCCTGCCCCTCTCGTCAGCCCTGCTGAGGCCTGCCCTGGAGTACTGTGTCCAGTGCTGGGCTCCCCAGCACAAGAGAGACGTGGCGCTACTGCAGAGAGTCCAGCGGAGGGCTACACAGATGATGAGGGGACTGGAGCACCTCTCCTCTGAAGAAAGGCTGAGAGGGCTGGGCCTGTTGAGCCTGGAGAAGAGAAGATTGAGAGGGGATCTCATCAATGTGTACAAGTATCTGAAGGGGGGGGGGTTGTCGAGAGGATGGGGCCAGTCTATTTTTGGTGGTGCTCAGCAACAGGGCGAGGCAACAGGCACAAACTGAAACACAGGAAGTCCCATCTAAACATAAGGAAAAACTTCTTTCCTGGGAGGGTGAGAGCGCCCTGGAACAGGTTGCCCAGAGGGGTTGTGGAGTCCCCTTCGCTGGAGATATTCAAAACCCAGCTAGATGCACTCCTGTGCAATGTGCTCTAGAGGACCCTGCTTGAGCCAGGGGACTGGCTTGAGCCAGGAGACTAGATGATCTCCAGAGGTCCGTTCCAACCTTGGCCATTCTGTGATTCTATAACAAATGTCACGTTAGACTTTTTCTTTACTAAGTATCACTATCTTCATTTTTTCCTCATCAAATGGTGTCTCTTAAAGAGGCTAAAACATAGGAATGAGGTTAGGAACATATTTAAAGCACTATCCCTCTTTCTTTCTAACCTCCCAGATATCCTGTGATCCACGACCATTCATCTCTCTGTAGTTTAGTGCATTAATTTATATGGCACTATTCCAAATGCTTTTTAATACTGAAGGTAGAAAATGATCGGTGAAAGCTGCAACATTAATTACGAGTTTCCTTTTTTGAAATGTGGGCATGTGTTTCCATTATGTCTGATCCTATATAAGAATTACAAGATTCTTTCCACGTAGTCACACATTGATATCCCAACACCTCCAGTTTTATCCCTGAGATTTTACTTTCTCTTCATTTTCTACCAAAAATATTGGAGAAAATTACCACTACTAGTATAGGCACTACCCACGTCCTTCAAATTTATGCAGTATAAATGTATAGTAAAAAGTAGAAAAATAAAAATAACTTTAAAGTGTCATTTAAACCAGCATTTTCTGTATGTAAACAAAAATCAAAACTTGAAATTTGGTAGATTCTACCATAATAAGATCAGATTTTTACAACCAGGTTGTACAAAGCTTTCTCATCGGAAAAATTCTGCTGTTACTATTACTCATCCTCCCATAGTTAGTTCACTGATTGTATTGGAGCTATTCCAAAAATTTTTTATTTTTTAAGGTAAACAAAGGTGTCTGAAGCAGTTTCATAGATAAATATGTATGAAATGTGAAGAAAAATCATGAAGGCTTAAGTATAGATTGATATGGAATTGAACATTGTGGAAGATAAAAAAATGTACCCATGACTTTCTGAAAACAGCACATAGGATGTAAAGTGTCTCAATGGGAACTTCTATAGTGTATCCACGCCTTAAAAAATCTCCTACCGTTAAAGCAAACATCTCAGCTGAGTCCATTTTGAAGAATGATTTCAATTCAGCTCAAGCGTGGCCACTGATCCTATAATTCCACACCCTACAGGGGATGCTTGAACAGTCTTTCTACAATCCACTTGTTACCATCCAAATGTTAGGTCTATAATGCTCTTAGAGAGCACCTAATGTAATAGTAAAAATTCAAGTGTATTAGATTCAGATATACTACCAAACTTTTCTATTTATAATTTGCATGAATTTAAAAGTGTCCTATTCATAATTATTATTATTTTTAATCTTGTTGAGTTTTAGTAGTAGGTGTTTTTAATACTTTCTCAGCAAACAAATAAATATGTAACACATACCTCAAAACTGACAGGTATATTGCGCTTCAAAGCAATTTCAAACACTACACTGATCTCAGACTTGTTTGCATCTTTATCTTCTTCTGTTTCTTTTCCTGCTTCTCCATTCTGAAAAATGAAGAATACAATATGATCATAGTAAAATTTTTTTTTTAAGAAGGTAAAAAATGCAATATACTCTTCCCGCCGGTCTTAAACTCTTTTTGAGTTCTGTCATGCAGTAAATTTTTGTTTGTGTTATCTACTTCAGTACCCCACTATCAGCCACCTACTGACCTGTAAAGCTGCATATAACAGTTGTGTTTCATATTGCTCATACTAAAAGAACACATACACATTAGCTTACATGGCTGTTAGAGGCAAAGTAACTTCTACTGATTTTAGGCTTATTAATAACATGGATAATAATCAACTGATCGCACACTGCTTGTGTCAAACATGACTATTAAAGATCCTGTGACCTCCTTCTCAGCCTCCCCTCCATGGGCACCCCTTCCAAGCCACGGGTGAGTGCCTGTACTTCTCTGAGAAGAAATTCAGTGATATCACCCCTACGCTTCGACTGGGTCACCAGGTTGCAGGTGTCCTCAGCAGGTCCAGCTGGTTAACGGCCCCTCCACAGCCTTCCCTCTGGGAGGTATGACCAGTATGAAAAGGTAGTGACAGAGAACAGCTTGCTCAACACAAAACATTATTTATTTATCCATAGGAAGATAACAAACTGAGAGGATAAGGGATAAAACAACAAAAGGAATATATAAACATTATCCTACCTAAAATTCAGCTTTGCTTTGCAATTTAGGTAAGTCCTATTTTTCTCAGAAAACCAACAGTATGGGGATCAGTCAAACAGCGATCACCTTCTACAATTTCTGCCTTTTGGTCTTTGACCCCAGGCCACATTTTCCTTAGTTCTCAGAGGTTTAACTTTCAGCTACTTTCAAACTCGAAAGCCCTGAATGTTTCAAACCGGGATCTCTCAACAGCCTTGTAGCCTTGGCCAGACTCCTAATTTTTTATTAGGGGAGGTAAACATCAAACCAATAGGGCTGAACTAGGTGGATTCCTGCAGAGTCTTGCATAAGAAAGACTGATATAAATCTTTAGCCACCAGTATAAATACAAAATCTAGATACTGAAGCTATAAAGTAACATCAAAAAAAAAAAAAAAAAAAAAAGGTTCTTCACTATAACAATGAAAATTATGAAAATTTTATCTACCCGTTGTTAACTCTTAACATATTAACCTTTAGCATAAAGCAGGACCAAAAATGCAGCAGAAGCATGCAACTTTAACACATAGACTTGGGGAGCTTTTTGTCTCATTAAATGGTCAAAAAAATTTTGAGTAGAAAATGCAATTTACTTCCCTGCCAGTGATCTGGAGCAATATACAAAACAAAAATTGATAAAGTTTGCAGAAGCTGCCAAAAACACAGGGTGCAGTACTAAGTAACAGCAAGAGGAGCCAGAATGAAATTACATAGTACCTCTGGCTCATTTAATATAATGAAAGGTAAAGTACTACTGAAATCAAAATGTGAGTCATTATTTATAGGATAGGCAAAGCAGTGATTCAGTAAAGGACTTAGGTTCACAGAGAATAATGAACTGAACAGAGTTGAAAGGACAACATTTAAAAGCATACATATATTTTTGGGATATAGAGAATATCAAGCAGAAACTGTGGGGTACTATTATTACTGTAAACAACTATAGTAAGAACCTTACTCAATATTGTATTCAATTAAGTTTGTGTTTTATAAAGGAGATTGACAATAAGAAAAGTAGAGAAAAGGAGCTGTAAAAACAAACTATTGATTAGAAAAAGCACTTTACACTGACAGACTACGGAAGCAATCAGTTATATAAGAAGATTTTAAAATCATTTGAGCATAATTGATAAAATTATATGGGGAAGAGATTTTTTTACAGCTGTTTGTTAGATTTAAAGACATGAAAAGAAGAAATCAAAGCTAAGTACATTTAGAAGAAATGCAATACAATTTATCTTTAACTAGGGGAATAATCAATCACTGCTATAAATTACATAAAATACATATAAATAAATTTTAAAATATAAAATTATAGAGTTCACCAGACTGCTAGTAAGTCTTTCAGACAAGATTTTTTTTAGGTTTTCTAAACCTACTCTAGCTGGATACTCTAGCTTAACCACATATGTAGAGTCTAATGTAGAAATTACTGTTTAAATTTCATGATTAACACAAACACATTAATCTAAAAAATCATTAAATGTCTGTTCTTAAATTTCAGTCCTTGCCTGTTCTTCCATCACGCATAGTAGAGCCTAACTGTGAGTGGAGACTAAGGAGGATATGTCTTTAAGGCCCAGACCTTAGTACTGAGCAATAAGGTTTCAAGTCTTAGTCGGCTGATTCCCTTAACTTCAGGTCGATAAAACATGTTCAGGAGCATCTAAGGCGCTTTGGATTTAAATTTGATCCTCATTCCAGAACTGACACTTGAATTGTAAGGCCCTTCTTAGGCCTCCGTTCTATGAGGCAGCAGAGCTACTTTGGCAGACACACAATAGTTCTTTTTATGAAAGCAAGTCACCTGTACCCTGGCTCTGTTTGCTATTTGTTTCTTGTTCCTGTTCACCTTACGCTTTCTACACGTTTGCGCAATGAAGTATTAAGACGACAATGCTTCTCTTCAGTGGTTTAATACGGGTAAAAGATTTGCACTAGACTCATTTGGTTTAAAAAAAAGAAAAAACTTAGTATCTCAGGATAAAATAGGAATATAAATAAATTTGCATTAAGCAAACATGGTTATGCAGATCAGAAGGCAAAACCATGTATTCATTGTGCTATATTGCAGGGGTCCCATTCCAGTGAAGATCTTTTCATGACTAATGGCATGTAGGGCTAGATTGGTCTCAGCAGCTCTGTCACTGCTCCCTTGCATTACTGGAAGCAGGACGGCAATAAGTGATGGAGGGAGAAGGAATTTCAGTCAGTCAACGGATAGGGCCAGCCAGATTCTAACACCTGTTAGCTCTGATCCATGTATCACAAATAAGGTATGACAAATCACGCATCTTCCACGGAAGGTGCAGATCGCAGCAGGTCAGTCCAGCTGAAGGAAGCAGAGCTTTAGTGAGCTGGACTGGGTCCCACGCTGAGGGCACGTCACTACTCCGCAGCTGACAAGAGCCCTGTGCGTGCATCGCGCAGCCAGTGCAAGCGAGGAGCCCTAGCCTCAGCACGGCGAAGCCCTTAAACACCACTTCAACCCATCAATTCTTTGGATAGCTGCACCCAGCACCACACAGTGCAGCTCTTTGTACTCCACCATGACCATCCAGGGTCACCTCCAGCCTTCTCCAGGCACCTATGACCACAACGCATAAAATAACAGAGATTATTCTTTCTCATGACTCCCCTCAACCCGCTTCCATTACCCTCAGCAGGACCAAGCCTCACAGGCTTTCCTAACTGAGGACTCGATTCAGTTTCCTACCCACAGACATCTGCCATTTGAGATCCCACAGGATCCTAATGGGCCTTCTGCTGCTGCGCCAGAACGTCACGGTACTCCCACTGGTCTTACCAGTAGTATGCGAATATCTCAGCAACCCCAAGGTATTGTCTCCTGACAATCCTTCCATATTTTTCTCATTACATATATAATTTATGGTGGTGAAGAGAAGAATGAATTTACTTTATTAGCTCAAGATAGAGATGACAATGCAGATTGCGACAAGAATTTAGGAAACTCAGTTTGCCACACTGCATCCTTTCCTAAAAGCCTGCATACCCTAAGAGACACTAATCTCAGTAGACACTAAACAGATCAAATTGGACATGAATGTGAATTTAGGATTCTATTACTTTTGCTAAGTAAATAAATGCTACCCACGTTTCACATACACCCGCTATGAAAACTAAGTATTTAAACACACCTATCTTACTTATTATCCCATGCACTTAGATAACAGTAATTTATTTTCCATGCTGATCAATGGGTATCTTGAATTCAAGGATTCTTTTTATGAATACAATATTATATATATAGTTTTCAAAACTAAGGATATGTTGATCTAAAAATACAGTTCAATAATATGACATTCCCACTCAGCTTTGCACTTGGCATTCATCATCAACCAATACTTTTGTCTGGAAACCAGAAGAGGAAGGAAGGGAATTAAAAACAGGAAACAAAATGGAGATTCTACTTAAGACTTCAAATATTCCTTTTAATAGTTTTTCTGTTTAAAAAAAAAAAAAAAAAATCAATACTAATTTTAGAAAGTGATTTTAAAGAGAATTTCCTGATCCAGAAAAATGACATAGTAAAACCAAACTCTATTTGGATCAAAAGGAACACATTAAAATATAGGGTGAGGCAGATGGATGTCTTTTTGATACAGAAAATTATTTCCAATCTTAAAAAGCACCTTGAAGCAACCACACAAGACACTGAAGGCACTTTCACTAATGTTTTGTACCGTGCATAGGATTTCAATAGGACTCATCAGAAGGAGAATACAAAAAAAGAATTGTCTCCTGATGCATCTGTTAGCGCTCATTTGACAAGGCAATTTTATTATTTTTGTCCTTTGAATTTACAATGATTATTCTAAGAATAATTATTCTGCTAATATATTTTTTTAAAAACATAACACAATATTTTCATTTATAAGCAACAATATATACCACTTACAACAGTGAGAAAGCTAACTATTCAGAAAGGGACTAAGTGGCTAAAAGCCTAAAACCATCTGAGAGCTGTTTAGTAGCTATCAGTAAGGCTCAGGGTGGGGACAAGTCATTTCAATTGTAAAGAACACGTTCATGCCACAACATACGAGTAAGTTCAATAATTCATTCTCTGTAAAGCCACTGATTAAATGGACATTTTTTCTACTTTTGGGATAATCTCAATTATTTTCTCGTGTTTTACTTAACCACTGTTGATAATCCTCTCATCTTTAAAATGCCTTTCTACTTTTACTATTTAAGTCTAGCTCCATGTTAGGTGTGCTTTTATACAGAAATAACACGAACAGTTTTTTTTACTATTGCTTCTGTTTTTACTGAGGCTAACACATAAAGAAAAAACTAAACTAAATAAATTAAACATTGAAAAGCTGATAAATAAATTGTAAGATTTGGTATCTTAGTGTGAAGATTAGGCAGAGCACATTTTTTGAAACACAAACCTGAGGTAATTTTTCTGGTATAGGCTCATTCTGGAGAGCTTGAAGGGCCTTCATTGCAGCATTATGTCTAGCAGCTTGACGAGTCTTTCCTTCACCAAAAAACTCACTGTTGCCAACAGTTAACTGGACGTAGAAAATTTTAGGCACTGGGCAGTGATACCTGAAGAGAAGTCATGAACAAGTTAACGGATTTCTAAACTTTAGAAACTAGTAATATAAGTTATTAATTTTAAATGTGTATACAACAGTATAACAGATGTTATCTCTTCTCACAGTATAAGAAAGACTCAGCACCGAGATATATGACCCCACTCCTCAGCCAGTCCGTCGGTAATTCTGATGGCAACATCAGCATACCCACTAGTTCTGCACTCGTATTTGAATTGCTCTGCAATGAGCTTGAACTACTTCAGGTGAACCACCCAGCTCTACCCTCTCTCTGGTTTTAGTCCTGAGAGCATTATGCCTCAGGAGAACTGAAAGCTCCAGGGGAAGCTGTGCCTGGGAGAGTACTCCTTTCCCAAGGGAAAGTTGCATGGAGGAAGCAGGAAT